ATTCTTACGTCAACTTCGCATTTGTCGATGACAATTTAAGTTACTATGTGAGCCGTATAAATCAATCAAATTCATCAGTGTATAATTCAATGCTATTTCAGTCGAATATACGACTAATAACAATCGGAGATTCGCTAATTATGCTAAGTTGATTAATAGGGTGCAAAAATAACCTGCGACACGACGCCCACTTCTTATAACAGGTGTTATTATCCGCGATATTGGGAAAGAAAGGCTTTTTCCACCTAAGTGTTGATCCAACCTCTTTTTTCCAGATGATTTAAAACAAAACAGTTAAGCTCTACTATAAAGGGTTACAATAACTCATRAAAGACCATATAGTAACCGAGAGGGGATTGGGATTATATGCGACACTTCAACTTGGACGTCTAAAATAGGAATTGCCCTATTTCATTATGATGTCCTGTATGTTTACATCGGAAAACGATGCTCGAAAACAGTGGAAATTTGGACCCATTTATATGGCCTAATAAAGTAGAACCTCAATGAATCGCGTTTTGTTTTTGTCATTTTCTACAATTATGGTTGTTATTTACGTTGAATTCAAGATAAAGAAAAATAATGAAAATTTTGAATAAAACTTAAGGTCCCCATCTATTAATTAGGTAATTTTACTTTGAGCCCCCCTCCCCCCCCCCTACCTTGGCATCAATGCCCCCCTCTGGTTTTACGCCCCCCTTCCTGGTAATTATTGCACAGTCCCTTAAAATAATATTAAAAGAGACGTGTGATCGTCAAATTTGTCTTGTAATTAGAGSATCCTACGTTGCCCTACCCACGCAAAATCTTGATTCAAATACTATCGGAACTTTAATCGCTTTAGTTGGAAGGTGTGCACAGCTCTGCATGGTAATTCCAAGAGGATGAACAGGTAAGCCAAAGCTATATCACAACTGTCTTAATCAATAAGTCGATGAGGTTTACTGTGATATCTGGAAAAGTCAAAATGTCGAGACTAAGGGTGCTTTCCATTTAGGCAGAACTGGCCGGCCTGTCCACTCTATTTAGAGGTATATAATGCTTTTTGTCAACATTTTTCAGTCATTTCAAGGTTTTCTGTAGAATAATGGATAGAATTTGAAAATTTGAATTTCCTAACTAAATGGGAATGATATATAATGACATTTTCTCTGGGTCTGGCCAGCCAGTTCTGACAAATGGAAAGCGCACTAAAGGCCCGATGTTGATTCACATTGGTCACGATAATTGATTATTTTTTTTAAATCGCCCAAACCGCGGAATTTAATCATTGTTATTTTGTAATACACAAAGTTTGCCTTCTTACAAGACTATTTTTAGCAAATTTGGTAAAGAATGAAGCCGGTCAAAAAGACTATAGGCAGTCACAAAATTTACGCTGCTTTACGATAAAACTCCATTTTGTGTCAGAGTTTAAATTCAAAGTACCAATCTTTTACGCAACAGTCAGCTGTAAGTCACTACTGGTTGCCAGCGATAAATTCAGAAAAAAAGTATTCTCCAGGCAAGGAATACTCTCTAAGAATTTTTGCCAGGAAAATGAAAATTTCCTTTTTTGATCATAAAAACGTTATATAAGCCTTTTTGACCTTACAAACGTTTGCCAGCAATGACATTATTTTAAAGAAGGAAGGGCGCCACGTTTCCTTGAGATTGTAAGCAATAATGTAGCTTAATGAAATCCCTTTCGCAGGAAAAAATTCGTACAAAAACAGTTATTTTGAAGAACAGACCCCGTCGGCTCCTCCTGAAAACACCAAGATTTTTACTATAAAACTGATCTAGAGATCTGAGAAAAACGTTGCAAAATTACCTCATCATGTGATTGACTRTTCTCTGAAACTTTTAAGCCTGTGTTTCTTAAAGAAATTGCAAGGCATCTGTCTTCACCTAATTATTAGATTTCAGTTATTACTCGGATGGCTTGCTCGGTAAAGATCAAAGATGATTTCATTTTGTCATGGTATATTCATCAGAACTAATCAGACTTTGCATTGGTCTGAAAGAGCTGGTATCCTAGCATTTAATTACACGAATAAATTGGAAATGAGGACGATAGTTCCTTACACGATAATAAGAGGACCTATTTTTATCTTTCTTTCCGCGCTTTCAGTGATTTAAAACCTTTCTCGTGTTTTAGCAACAATCTCGCGTTTCTGTTAGTCGAGTTGATTGGAGTTGAAAAGTGAAGGAACTGCCATGTTTCTATCCGCGCTTTCAGTGATTTAAAACCTTTCTCGTGTTTTAGCAACAATCTCGCGTTTCTGTTAGTCGAAAATAGAAAAACAGGAAATATGAATAGAGCATTTTTGTTATTTTTATTGAGGATTATGTATTTATATAATCCATAGTCTCCTCTCGCAGCCGTCAGTGACCTGGGAACGAACGTCGTTACGGCTGCGAAAGGAGACTTTTAACATCCATGGTTTCGTGTGCTTTAAATGGATATATAGCATTTATAATCATATCATAGTTAAATTTCCTAAAATGAGAAATTGATTCCCCGGCTGTTGCATTTGTCATGGTTATTTTCGTTTTAAACTAGCATGAAAGGTATTTTCTAAATATAGTTACCTTATGGGTCCTAATGTATACTGCAAAGGAATAACACAGTACTGCTGTGACCACTAAAGAGATATTACTTTAAAAGCCCTATATTAGACCATGTGTCTGTGAAATTGATAGGTTGTTAAATACTGCTTTACTCTGTTTTGAGAATTTTCTATGTGCCGACCGTTTAAAGCTCTTTATTCAAAAACAGGGTGTCGCGTGTAATAGCAACTAATAGCGTGCATTACTGAGTTTGCCTCGGTTTGATGCGTTGATTCCTTCATTGTTGTTTCAATAATTTTTGACTTGTAATTTGCTCTGCCACTGATAATGCAACTGTTTTCTACAGTAAAGTATACTTTATAAAATGGAGGCCAAAAAAGCCACCAACTCTTGATCACATGTAAGCAAAAAGCAGCTTGCTTAGTTCACTGAGCCTTCTTTGTAAAATCTTTAACCTGTATAAAATTTATACAGGTTAAAGATTTTACAAGGTTAAAAAACTGCCAAACAAAGATAAGAATTCAATAGAATGAATATAATATATATATATATATATAGAATCAAATATCTTGTATATAAACAATAAACAGTATCAAAAGTATTCTTAGTTGATTTAGACTGCTTGAAAAATATGTCTTTTTTCATCACCTTTTAATAAATATTTAACGTATGTTTTTTGAAATAGCTACATAACGAAAATACGAATTTCTATCAGACGCCGGATAAACAGATACTGAATTATTTAGTAAATATCGATTCCCCTCAGTGGAATTGGCATTTTTTCATCTCGAAAGCTTACAGCAAAAACCTCTTCGACTTTCTAAACATGAACACAACAYAAAGAAAAAGAAGCATGTGAGTATTATTACCTTCAGTCTTCAGTGGCTCAGCTGGACTTAAAATGAAAATGCAAGAAATAGCTAGCGCGTATGTACCAACCTTGCGATTAAAATACCAAAACAGTTGATTTATTTTATAAATTGCATGACGTTATTTCATGATAAGTCACAGGAAAAACACCATTTAACAATTAATGATTATAATGAAACTCAAAAGTGAAAAATAGCAAAAATGACATCATCGTATATTCGACGCG